AAAAAAAAAGATATTATTTATGGCTTTTACACTTACCTGTTTTTATTTACATACATGTTAATTCATAGTAACATGGTAATTTCACTTACTTTTATTTAAAAAGTCAAGTGAGTTTATTTTCTTTAATTCTAGCAATTAAAGAAAAATGTTAAATTTACAAGAAAGAGAAAAAAAGAAAAATCAAAAACATTTGCAAACTATAATTAAGAACACAATTATTAATGCAAAAACAACATTTACTGTTCACAACAGTACACAGTTAGTTATTCTTCACATGTGTAATAAAATATGACATTCATTTTATTTTTATGGTATTTTGATTTATTTGCTGTGGTGTAGAGTATACACACAGTAGTTAGTATTAAATGTTTTTAAATGTAAAGTTATTTTAATCCTTGCATATGAAACACATATGATCCTGCATCTGTTATGGGGTTTCCTGCTTTATGTGTACAGTGCACTGTACACTGGTAGTGTGTATTTAGTTAAAGTGTTGTTGTTTTTAAAGAACTGACAGATTAATGTTTTTTTCCTCCATTTTCAGTGGAACAAATTGAGCTTTTTTCTATCATGTGCTGTGGGACCATAGCTAAAAGTCTATTTTTAGGCGTTCACACTGATTCAGCATTATTACCACCATCTCTGTGACTTTAACATGATAGTAAAAAGAAAAAGCAAAAAAAATAAAATAAAATAAATTAACCAAAAAAACAGACCTGGAACACTTTGTGAACCGCGCCATAATCATTGCAGCTCTCAGCACACTGCCAGCTAAATTTAGACTAAATTTCTGGGATTATAGAGGACATGATTGCTTCACTTTTGGTGTATTTCCCCCTAGCTGGTGAACCCCCTCACCCCAGTCCTACACAGTCTGTTACTATGGAAACCAGAACCTCCCTCCCCACCAGCTCCCTCTCTGTTCTCCATCACTTTGAAGACATTTTGTTGACCTACATTACTGCTTCCAGAAGCTCTTCATAGTATTTTACTCCACATTTGCTGTTCCTGGTGGTCCAACAAGCAACAACATGCAGTCATCCCCCTGTTTGTGGCATCTGTCCATGGGCTTCCTCTACAGGTTAAGCTTGATGTATCGTACCATTTGGGAGGCTATCCAGTCAGGTGTGATATTAAACCCACCTTTAATGCATTATGTTTACATGATAGAGGGTGAGTAGCAACCAGGGGCAGCCAATCAAATGCATGTGGTTAACTGCTTATCAACACCTCTATAAAACTGAAATTTTGATAGTCGTCAAATGTGAAGCCATCTGTGCAACAGCATAAGCTTGGTCCAAATTGGGTCATGCAAAAGGAAAATTATCCCAAGCACACAAGTGAATGTTTAACAGAATGGCTGAAAAAGAAAAGAACCAAGATGCTGCAACGGCCCACTCAAGTCCAGATGTCACCCTGACTGAAATGCAGTGGTGGGACATTAAGGGAGCTGTGCATAGATGAACTCTAGCAAACCTCAAACAGCTGAGGCAATGTTGTAAAGACATAAAACGTTTGAAGAAGAGTGGCCATATATCCTACGCAACAATGTGAGAGACTGATAAAGTCATGGTTCTTTAATGTGCTGAATCATGCAGTGTCATTTTAAAAGAGTTTTTCACCAGACAACATAGAGTGCTGTGAAAAAAACCCCTCTTTTTCATGTGAATATATCAGCATTTGTGTATTTTTTTCCAGCAAATACACATAGTACTATAAACACACATTTATATTGGCAACTGGAAAAACGTTGTCGATATTAATTAGCAGTTCCCGGAAAGTTGGAAGAGTTTTTAGAGGCAAATAGTGGCCTTTTAACAATAAACCAGTGGACATGTATGTTACCTCTCGTAAAACCTCTCAAACGCAGCATTAATTAAATGCATTTGAAATATGGAATCCAATCCAATTTAAGAGCAACTTAAAGCCAGGAAATATTAACATAAATCAAACAGCATCATATCTAAATATTAAAGTTAGACTATGCCAAACAAAGCCGACAGTACTAAAGCTTGATTCATTAGCTAACATTAAGAAACGCCAGAAAGAGGACCAGGCTGGCTAGACAAGACAATTTAAACCACTTTTAACTACATGTAAATCAAATATGTCAAATTTGATTTACATGTAGAAATAATTTTACAGTTTGCTGATATTTGTTTTTCCTAAAAAACATTATACAATC